ACATAATTTATTTTGTTGTCTCCTTTCCTTGCGGGGGGTGCGTGGGTTTTCGGATCTGCGTGATGCGGCGGGCGCGGGAAGGAGGGAGAGAAAGAAAGAAAGAAAAGTGAAAGAGAAAGAAATGAAAATAAAAGACATATGAAGTGCTGTGGGAAGAAATAAGGTCTAGTTAATGTGTATAAGAAATCCGAGGGAAGAGAAAAAAAAGCATAGGGAGGATAAAATTCTTGAAGGAAAGTAGGCCAGATCCGATGGTACATGCCTGTAAATCCAGCTACTCTCAATCAATTGCCTCATCAATCCAGGAATTGATGCAGAAGGATCCAAAGGTCTGTATGGGTAGAAACCAAAACCAAAACCAAAAAAAAACCTAAAGCTTTTGGTCTATGCGAAAATCTATTAAAAGATTCTAATGGCTCAATAGTAAGAGACGTAATACAACAAGCAAAGAATAATCCAGTAATCTAAGAAAATGGAAATGGCTTTTATTTTTTATTTTTGCTTTTGTGGAACTCATGAGAATTGAATCTAGGACCTTATGTGTGGAGGAAAGCACTGTATTCATGAGGTCATTTTCTTTTTTCTTTCCCCTTTTTGTTTCATCAAAGTCTTTCTAAATTGTGCAATCTGGCTTTGAGTAATCTAACCCAGACTCTACAGTACGTATAACTGTAGGTTTGCAACATCATGCCTGGCAATAAATAACTTTTTAAAAATTTCTTTCAGTTTTTCCAGACAGTGTTGTGTACCCAAAGCTGATCTCGAAGTCTTTGTGTAGCTGGGGATGACTCAGAACTTCTAATCTTTATTCCTCTACTTCTCAAGTGCCAGGATGACTAGTGTTCACTGCCACTCCCAGGTTTGTGCTGAGTTGAGGATCGAACCTATGTGTTCATGAAAGCCACGTCAAAATGTGGCATTAATAACAGAAAAGAAAGGATAAAAACTGTCAGCTATGATTGAACATTATCATGATATGGGCAGATTAGTGACACATAAAATTCATGTTTTTCCACAGAACAAGAAAGGTTCAAGAGCGATCATATGAAAGTCGGCCACGATGTAAAGCAGCTTCTTTATACCCCCACCTAAATGACTGGCTGGAGAGCAAGGACCAATGAATGTCTCTATTGCTTCTGGACATCTCAAGCTTTGCCATATGAAGCCTTCACATTGCTGTACTTGTTCCCGTTAACACAGGTTCCGCCCCCGAGAGCTCTCAATCCAATCACTTGCCACAGAGAGTTCCAGAATTTCCTTCGATGTGGAGAGGAGGTTTCTGGGAGAAATAGGGGTTTCTGGGAGCTCGTTGGGAAACTGAGAGCGTCACACGTCTCGTCGCCTGCTCCATGGAGGTGATTTGAGACGTTTGCTTTTGGGATTCCTGAGGACAGCAGAGTGGAGGAAAGTGAACAGCCAGGTAGGGACATTGGTTAACCTAGGCCCTAGTTGCCTCTGGGGCTCAGGCAGGGTACTGTGGGGCTGCCATGGTGGAGTACAGAGAGGGCGTATTGCGGGCCTTGCTTGACACACCCGAGTGAGGCCTTGTGTGTCTGTCCTAGTTTGGTCGCTTGTGACTAGAGGGTGAAAGATAAGAGGTAGGGGACACAAGAGGCTGCAGAGTGGTCATCACTGAAGGCTGTGGTGAGGGGGGGAGGGTCAGGGGGGAGTGTTCAGGCACGGGCGACATCCGGGGATAGTAGTAACCAGTGACGTGAGGCAGCCTAGGCCTCCATATGCTGGCGTTTGGGAGGGCCCTATGGGGCAGGGCCCTGGTGTCTGCCTGCCTTTAGGTGCTTAGTTGTGGATGGAGGGATGCGGTATGACTGCAGATTGAGAGGCTAAGCCACCGAGTGAATGGTGCTGCCCACGGCCCAGAAGACTCTGTGGAGAAGGCACGCTTGCGCATGCGCTTCTTGTCTTTGGCGGACTAAGGACTAACGTCTGGTGGTCTGGTGGTTCCTTGCGGGTGGGAGTGCCTTCGGCTCACAACATGGCGGCCAGCCTCAGTATGGAGGAAAAGGAGAGGGGCGGGGCAACAGCCCAGCATGGAAATGAACTATTATTTCCTGCCGGGAGGGACAGCTCTCGGTAGTTGGGTAGTTGGGTGTTAAGGTCCTGGAGCAGGGGTGCCTCAATTCTTGGAGTGATAGGAGACGGTTCCTAGTTTTAGGTGGAGTGGCAAATAAATGAATGGCTGCCGGCTTGTCCACAGCTTTTGGGAGGTGAGAGGAGACCGATAATATTTAAGCACTTTGGGGAGTGGGGTGCCCTGACTTTTGGCCTAAAGAAGCTTGCTGCAGGCTGAGTGCGATTGTGTGTGTCACCATGTGCCAGGGTCTTGTAGCTGACAGGATGACAGATTTCCATGGTAGTGTGTTCAGGTGAAGCTGATTGGAAGAGCTGGTCACTGGCACTGGGTGGAGGAGATGCAGAAGGCAAGGCTGACTGACATCTTGGGGTGAATGTGAAGACCAGAGACTTGGTTACACTTGAACTGGTGGGTGGAGAGGTGAAATACTGCTATAGGCTGGTGCTTTGCACTTGGGATTTGAAAGGTTTGACGATCCCACAAATCTCTTTTGTGGTTGGTAACAACTACATGAATACATACGATAAATGAATACAAATAACAACACATTGTATAGTTTCCCAGATAGATCATACATGTATTATGCAATAAAATTTTTTTTTAAATTCTTTACAAGCTATAGTCAGTAATGTGATCCTGTACTCAGATATTCAAGAGACTGAGGCAAGAGGATCACTTAATGCTAGAAATTCTATCCTGGGAAAATACTAAGTATTTAAAATGATTGTTTTGACTCTGCAATTATTTTAGATCATGGTGACAATTCTATGTGAAATTAATAATGTCTAATTTTTTGTAGTGTTGACTGTACAACATCTGGCAAGGTCTTATTGGCTAAATATTTGGAATTCTGTGGGTCAATGAAAGTATGATTTGCTTTGTATGTTGTAGATAAATTTAGTTAGAAGAAAATGTTTCAAATTCAACAAAATCTGCAACTTAACAAAATTAGGAGGAAAACTAAAGGAAGGATCAGTAGAAAATTATTTTACTTTTTTTTTTTTAGTTTTTTCAATTTTTTTTGTGACAGGGTTTCTCTGTGTAGCCCTGGCTGTCCTGGAACTCACTCTGTAGACCAGGCTGGCCTCGAACTCAGAAATCCACCTGCCTCTGCCTCCCAAGTGCTAGGATTAAAGGCATGCGCCACCACTGCCCAGCACATGCTTTTATTAGAACAAAACAAAATATAGGCTAACAAGATCACTGAGAAGGCAAAGGCTCCTGACAAATTGAGTTTGATTCCCTAGGCTGACTAGGTGAAATTTTAGCACTGATTCCTGAAAGTTTTCTTTTGAACTGTATAGGGCACTTGATGAGACACATATGCCCACATACATAAAAGTGTGTACATACACTAAGTTTTAAAAGTATAATAAAAAGTATAGAACAATTCTTAAGATAGTGACCTAAGAATCCATCCATTTAAAGAAGCTAGAGCCAGGACCAAGAGCAAATCTAATTTAGAAATAGTCAAATGAAGAAATGTTGTATATAAGTGTAGAAATCAGCTACAGAAAATGTACGCAAACAACACAAATGTTTCTTAAAAGAGCTGTAAAATTGGTAAACACCACTAATCAAGATAAAAGAACAAAAGATAGTATCAGGAGTGAAAAAGAAGATACTATTATAGGTTATGCAGACATAAAAATGAGAATGGAATATTAAGTGCAGATTTATACCAGAACTTGAAAACTGTAAGTTCCTTGGGGAGATAGAACATATAAGAACTGCCACTAGATAAAATATGAAATATAACACAACCCTGTATATTATGAATAGATTTATTTTGTTAAAGAATTTCTTAAAATCAAGCAAAATGGACAAGGATTAGGACTAGTCCCACACTTTATGGGGAAGCTTGGTGGGGTGTGGATTGCCTGACACTAACATGTCTGTTTTTTTGTTTTTGCTTTTCACTCACAGACTGAGGAAGACACTAGTACAATCAGACACATCCCTGTCTGGTCATGTTACCTCCTAAGTTCACTGCTTTGGCACTGGCGATTCTGCAGGACTGGTGTGGGTGGATGGGTGTCAATGCCCAGCGCTCACTGCTTATCCTGGGCATCCCTGATGACTGTGACGAAGAAGAATTTCAGGAGGCAGTGGAGGCTGCCCTCAGGCCCCTGGGCAGGTACCGAGTGCTTGGCAAGGTGTTCAGAAAGGAGATTGGGGCAAAGGTCGCTTTGGTTGAATTTGCTGACAATTTAAACCAAAGTTTGATCCCCCAACAGATACCAAATAATAGGGATTCCTGGAGTGTGATCTTTCTGCCTCCAGTCCCTGAAGTCGAGTCACAGGATACATTTAGTTTCCCTGCACAGGCTCATGGGCAAGCTTTGGAAGGGGCTTCAGGTGGGGCAGGGTCTTCAGGTGGGCCAGAGGTTTCAGGTAGGTCAGGGGCTGCAGTTGAGGAAGGAGATGTAGATGAGACAGGAGCTGTAGGTGAGGCAGGAGGAACAGCTGAGAAAGCCACAGATGAAGCAAGACTGTCTGGCAAGGAAGAAGCAGGTAAGGCAGGAAGAGGAGCTGCAGCTTTTGCCTCCTTCCTACAGGAGGAAGGAGCTGCAGCAGCCCAAGAAAGACTGTCAGATGAGGAAGGAGCAGAGGGGGAGGGAGGAGCAGATGAGGCAGGAAGGGTAGTAGAGAGAGGAGCTGCAGCTGAGGCAAGCTTGTCAGATGAGGAGGAAGCAGAAGATGAAGGAGTTATAGATGAGGCACAAGTTATATATGAGGCAGGAATTCTAGACGAAGCAAGACTGTCAGATGAGGCAGCTATGGATGAGGAAAATGATTTAGTTGATGTAGGAGCTGCAAGAATGTCTGATGAGGAAGGGGCTGGAGGTGACATGGGGGTTGCAGGTGTTATAGGCCCTATGGGTTGGATAGGAGCTGCAGGTGAGGTGGGAGCTTCAGGAGAGGGAAGAGTTTTAGAGGCAGGGGCAGGTGAAGAAGGGTCTGCAGGGGATGAGGAGTCTGGGAGCGATGAGGGGTCTGCGGGGGATGAAGGATCTGTGGATGGTGGAGGAGCTGTGGGTGAAGCAGGAGCTATAGGTGAGGATGATGCAGGAGCTGCAGGTGAGGCAAGAATGTCAGATGAGGAGGGAGCTGCAGGAGACATGGGAGTTGCAGGGATCATAGGAGCTGTAGGATTGGCAGGTGCTGCAGGTGAAGCAGGAGGTTCAGGTGAGGAAGGGGCCTTTGATGTGGCAGGAGGGGCACATGGGTCTGGAGCCTGGACCCAGCAGTGGAGCCAAGCCCTGCAGCCCATCCTGGAAAACATGGCCTACCAGGAGTTGAGACACTTCTCTGGGATGGAAGAGCCTGGCTGTGGGGGTCAGTCTTTCGAGAGCTGGCTGGATCATGCCAATGACATGCTATACCTGTGGCGCCACATATCCGAGAGGGAGAGGAGGAGGCGGCTGGTGGAGAGCTTGGGGGGCCCTGCCCTGGATCTCCTGTGTGAGCTTCTGGAAGAGCATCCAGACACCCCTGCTCAGGACTGCCTGGCTGCACTGGTGCAGGTTTTTGGCAACAAGGATACGGTGATGACCGCGCGGCTCAAGTTCCTGACTTGCTCCCAGCGGCCTCAGGAGACCCTGTTTGCCTATGTGATGCGCCTGGAAGGTCTGCTGCAGATGGCCATGGAGAAGGGGGCAATCCAGCCATCAATGGTGGATCAGGCGAGGGCCCGGCAGGTGCTGATGCGGGCCCGGCCCAACCAGATGCTGCAAAACAACCTGAGGAGGATGCGGCTGGAGAGGAGGCCACCTGGCTTTGCGGGGCTGCTCAGGCTCGTTCGGGAGACTGAGGCATGGGAGGCAGCTATGGCTGAAAATGCGGAGGTCCAGGAGGGGGAAGGGGTGGAAGTGCATGGTGGGGAGCTGGATGTGGTCCAGGCTGCCCTTGTCAGTGTTGGGGTTGCTGAGCCTGCCTCTGCTGTTAGAGAGGCCTTCCCAGCCAGTGAAGATGCCAGCCAGGCTGCTGCTGCTGTTCAGCAAGCTGCTGGGGCTGCTCCTGATGGTGATGGTGCCACAAAGGCAGAGCCTGATTCTGGTGAGGCCAAGGCCTTCCCTGTCACCCACAGAGATGAAAATGTGCCAGATCCTGCTGGCTCAGGCCAGACAGTGCCCACTGAGCTCCTAAGTGTGTTTGAGAGTGTGCCTCATGCAGGAGAGCAAGAAGCAGAGCAGCCGGTAATAGAGGGGCTGAAGGAAGAGTCAGAAAATGAGGATGGGGCATGGGAGTCTAGTCACCCAAAGTCCTTCCTTGGCAAATAGGCTCAGAAGGTCCATCCAGGAGCTTCCTCCTACCTCAGACATCCAAGTCCTAGAGGCAGGCAAGGTAAGCCCAGGGCTTTTGCTTTACCCTAAAAGTAGAGCAGGGCCCACAAAAGGTTTTGCTTAGCTTTAAACTTTAAACCAGTTTCCTCCCTCAACTTCCCAAGGAGTCCTGGTCACCACCACCATCACCTCCTCCTATTCTAGTTACCTAGGTATCTATGTGCCCTTTACCATGACAGTGTTACCTCCAGATCTAGTCCTAAAATGTTATGGCTTGGTTTGCTTAAAATAGATTGTTGAGGGCCGATTTTCAGAATTAAGTTTGTGGCCTAGTGTCTAGCTGGATGATGTGGGAAAGAGGCCACCCCAACCTTTCCAGTACTTTTTCTCCTAACACAGGCAGCCCACCCTCATTTGCAGTCTACAAAGACTGCTCTCTGCCATGGGATGGCCATTCTTATCTGCCTCATAATGACCTAGCATATCCAGTGCATTCATCTTCACACACTTTCTCTCATCCATTGATTTTGTACCAAGCCATGAGATAAATTAACCTGGACCAGTAGAGGTTCTGGCTACCCACTCAATGACTGCACATGCATGAGCACAGGCATATGCAGTTAGCTGATGTGCTGCTAGTCAAGCCTCTCCTGCCCATGTGAGCTACTTGTCTGCTTTCTCAGTCTGAACCTGGCTGATTCTTTCCAGATGTGTGCATTATTTGAGCAGGTTGTTTTTAGAGACACCCCAAATCCAGCAACAAGAGCCAGTGGGAAGGACAGAAGATGGGACTGGTTGGTGTTTACCTTGTGACTGTCAGTTGATTGATATTCATGGGCAAAAAGACATGGACCCTGGGAGGGGATTGAACACTGTGTTTTGATGTTCCATTTATGTTATTTATGACTCTTAATTGGTGAGGTGTTCTGTGCTGTGATTTCTAATGATCTGTAACTAGCCTTTGTCAATGATAGGGCAGGGCAACCTCACAGTATATGACCCCTTGAGGTGATCCTCCAAAGTAAAGGAGTATTGCCAAAATTGATTGTCTTGTTAAGATGAGTATCTTGGATCTTTACAAGGGGGAAAATGACAAGAGGCCCCCAAGGTGCTTGCAGGAGGAGTGCAGTCTTGGAACTGCAGCTTCTAGTGGCTATGGTGTATTCCAGACTAGTGTTTTGCCTTTTACAATGGTTTCATTAAATGTTTTTGTTTAATAAAACTTTTGGATGTTCCAGCTGTGTCTCACCACTTCCTTGGGCAGTTGGGGATGGGAAGAGCTTTTATTTCAAAGGTGATTTGTTGTTCAGTTTCACTGGTCTAATTTGGGCTTTTGAAAATGTTTTGCCAGCCTGACTGGATGGTCTATGACTATTCTCAGTAACTTTTAAATGTGTAGTTGTGGCCTATTTAGGGAGTTTCAGGTCATCTTGGGCTACAGCTACACAGTAAGACCCTATCTTTTATGTATATGCATGTGTGCATATGCCATTTGTGCATGTGCTTGCAGAGACCAGAAGACATAGCTACCCTGAAGCTGGAGTTGCAAGTCCCTGTGAGCTGCTCAATGTGGGTACTGGGAACTGAACTGTGGTCCTGCTCTTAACCACTAGGCTATCTAGTGAAATATGCAAAATTGTTGTTGATGCTGGTTTTCCCAGTTTAGGGAAGGCACCACTGGTCCTATATACATGGAGTTCAAGACAACACAAATCATACTACTTTTAACTTTTTTTTTTGTTATTCTGCCAGGTATGAGCCCCACTGTGACCTGACATGGTTTGAATAATTCTTTCCTCTGGCCTTCAGTCTTGTTCACTAACAGCGCCAAATGCTTAGGCTCACATAGACTGTCAGGATGTATGTAGCTCAGGGTGTAAATCTCAGACTGTCTTTCAAACCCATGTCCTTCCTCATGCCAGTCCAGCTCCCTGATATGAAGTGTGGGCATTATATTCAGCAAAATATCCATAGAACTGGATGTGTAAAGGCCCCAAGCAATTAAAGAGGATGCTTGGTGACCTGGGATAGCATTTACTCTGAGGCTACACTTCTGAACTCAGGGTTAGGGGCACATGAGTGGGTCACCAGAGAAGGAACTTAGGGGCTTAGGGTGGCCCAGGGAGGGCTGGCAGCTGCCTGTCTCCTGTAGTTATCTTGTAGGCCTCAGAGCCTGTCTCTGGAACTTTTGGGCCACTTTCTGAGGACAAGTTCCAGAATCAGTTTAAGTTGTTGGCAGTTGTGCCACTGTCATGTTCCTAGATAGACTGGGAATTTGGGTGGAACATAGGCAGTTTACAGAAAGGCCATACCAAGCCAGGTGTGAACTACATGCCAGATCTGGTACAGAGGTGGTGGCTTTGCTCTTCAGCAACCAGGTTCTGAACAGTTATTCCTCAGTCACTCCCTAGGAACTTGGAGTCTCTTTAATTGGGGCAGTAATGCAGCCCTGCTTCCTGGTGCCATAAATTACATGTGGCAGTGGGTGTTCGTGGACAGAGGCATTAAGGAGATGGCCCCCTGCCTTGGACAGCAAGTGTCAAGCATACTGTGTCCATGGCTGAAGCAGGAGATATTTATAAAACAGAGCTCAGTACAGCTTGTTCTGGGGCAGCCACCGTGTTCCCACTGTTCTTGCTCAGACTGCGGCTCCAGCTAGCTAGAAGCACTGGCCCTGGCACCCACGAGATGCCAGCCTGGTGGCTGGCTCTGCCAATCCACCACGCTGCCCCTACAAAGCTTGACTGAGCCCCTGATAATATCAGCCATGCTCACGGTACGTGGTAGAATGAAGATTCTTAAAACTTAAATGTTATCCAATAGATTTACATATTTGGAAGTGCTCAATTAATAAGATGCTCATACAATTAGAATTGTTACCTATAATCTAACTTTTAGATATAAATTGTTACCCAGGACTGCTTTCGACCCATCCATCTTCCTCCATGGTTGCTAGCTCTCCCCTCCTTCCTCTTCCTTCTCTCCTCCCCTTCCTATTTCCTTCTCCCAGCTCCACCTCCTCTTCTACTGCCCAATCATCGAGCTCCACTGTAAATACAATGTGGCAGGAAATTCCTGCAACACATGGCACTAACCTGGAGATAATTTTCTCAATTACCTGTCCTTTATGGTCCTAGGTTATGGTTGACCATAAGGGGAAATAAACCAGAAGTTGTTCATTTGTTTTATGCCTAGCTCAGTTCAGTTCAGTTCAGTTCAGTTCAGTTCAGTTCAGTTCAGTTCAGTGTAGTCCAGAATCACTACAGACCATTTGGAATTACTGATCAACCACCTCATCTGGTCTGTTATTCCCTCATCACCTTCTGGCTGTGCAAGATCACATGCTTCTCTATGAGAGAGCTCTTCCATCATGGGGATTTAAGTTAGTAAGAGGCCAAGTGGCTTCTGCATCTTCACCTTCTTCCTCTCCCTGCTTCTAGTCCAACTGACTTCAGTTTCAGCTACAGGCACAAAAGTGGTAGCCTAGCATAGATCTCTGCCCACTCCTGCAGTGGCTACAATACAATGACACTTCAATTGTCATTCAGATATAGAACTCTGATTTTGACTAATAAACCCTAAGTGGCATACCATTCCCTTGAGGTGTCTTCCTGGCACAAAAATTGTGTGTAGACTCCCAAAGAATTTCCTGCCCATTCGTGCCTGTCCCCTGACTTGACAAGGAGCTCCTGGTTCCCATGCTCTGTTCTGTCCTGCCCCAGGAGGATCTGGAGAGCTGTCTTTCTTCAACCTTTGAGGTTTGTTCTCATTAACCTCCCAACTGGGTGAGAAACGCCTCAGTCTAATGTCCAGGTTGTGGCTAAAGGAACAGTCAGAACTGCTGAAGAAGCCTTAATGTTGCTCAGCAGAACATTATGTGACCAGAACAAGGTGTTAGAAAGCCCTGCCCATTAGCCACTTTTAGCCAACTCTAGTTAGGAACATGGAGACAATTCCTTTATGCACTGTCTTCAGCAACCTTGTGGGGCATCTTGGAGCCTATCAGTTGAGGACTGGCCTGAAGTGTGACTACTGCCCAGTTTCAGACATATCCTGAATCTGTATTGTGACATTTCACTGACACAATGAATATGACTCTCACAGTTATAGTTCAGGAAGTGGTTACACCTCACCTTACCCACTGATAAAACCTTAGAGGCAGCTGGGGGAAAAAAAAACCTTAGAGGCTTCCCAGCCTAGGGCAGTCTTGAAGTTGGGGCCACAAGTACTCTCTTGCCAGGCCCAGCTCCTCATGTGTGACTGATTTGGTTTGTGGATTTATAGAGCCAGGGCATGCCATGCTCATGGCCTATAATGTTATCTGTCTGCAAAAGATATCAACTTTTAGAAAGGAAATTTCTTTAAGGTCTTGGATTATTTTCCTTTTCAGTTAAACAGAGAAATGCTGGGTTGGCATTGCTTCAAAGGCAACTTCAAAGAGGAAAAAAAGATCATTGGAGACTACTACGCCCCTAAACCACAAATTAGCCAGTAGCCTAGCCAAGTTGTTCTAAGTATGGACAGAGCAGAAGTGAGCTGAGCCAACAATGCCTTTTCAGAACTGGAGCAGAAATCAGATTGCTCTAGAATTAAGGGCCACAGTCCCAAAAGTCACAGAAAATGGATAACAAATCTTTAATTAAATTAATGAAATTGAAGGCCATGGGAGTAGCAGACCATCCTAAGGCAGATGATGTGAAAGTGAAAGATAATATATATATATATTGGATTTTCGAGACAGGGTTTCTCTGTGTAGTCTTGGCTGTCCTGGAACTCACTCTGTAGACCAGGCTGGCCTCGAACTCAGAAATCCACCTGCCTTTGCCTCCCAAGTGCTGGGATCAAAGACGTGCGCCACCATTGCCCGGCCAAACTTTTTTTTTTTTTTCCAAGACAGGGTTTCTCTGTGTAGTCCTAGCTGTCCGAAAGTGAAAGATAATATGAAGATACCACAAACAAGCATGGGTTTTATACATGAAACAGTAGCCACAATTACA